CCGCCGCGCCGCCCGAGGGCCCGCCCGAGCCCGCCGCGCCGCAGACCAGCGCCTGCTGAAGCCCGCCCGCCTGCCTTCCCCGAGGTGCCTGGGAGGATGCGAGACTGACGGGCTCCCCATAGCTGCTGGAAGGGAGGCGAGGGGGAGCCACGCTGCGCGCCACGCCGGCTGAGCGCGGCTAGTTCCCAGGCAAGGGGCTGGTGTGCGCGCCCTGCAGCTTTCCCAGGACTGAAAGAATCGCTGTTTACACAAAGAGTCCACTTTATTTCCCTGCTAGAGGCGTTCTTTCTAACCCCCCTGGAGCGGGGCTTGATTCAGAGTTGTCTATTCCCAGCTTGAAAAAGCTCAAATTCTACATTTTTTTTAAAAAAAAAAAGTGTGTGTCTGTGTGTGTGTGTGTGTGTAGAAAACAAAATGTGGCAGTGTATTTCTTTCTTAGCAGTGAAAGGAATTTTTTAAGATTGTATTGCTGCAGAGCAGCTTTTCATTTGCAGCTGATAGGGAAGCCCTGCAAGTAAAGCACTTGAATGGGCCTAGTTTTAAATCTAGCCTTCGCTGAGAGAGATTCTGCCACGCAACTTAGGTTAGAAGGAATCCTATTTAATGACAGGTTCAGCTGTAAGAAAATACTCTTATCATAAGCTCCATATTATTTCTTGTGCCAGTGCAAACATGGGGCATTGATAAATATATTTATTTATTGAAACTTGAAACTTTTGGATGTCACCTAAACCTTATTTTTATAGCACATGCATACTAGTGGGAGAAATTAGCTTGACAGAAAAGCTGCATTTATGCCTTTTCTTTTACTGTGTACATTCCAGTTCTGCTTGCTCTTTATTGGGTTCAGTAACAATTCAGTGCTGTCCAAAAAAGGGCTCAGAAGATTAGGGTTTTTTTAGCTCTGTTATTATGGTAACTCCATTGCATTATGTTTGACTAAATCATAGAAACATAATGGAGAGCTAGATTTATTTTTTCAGAAGAAATATGTAAATAATATTTTCTTGTTCTATTTTATTCTACAGACATTTTTCTAGTTGTCTAGGGAGGGGAAGGGTCAAAAGTCAGAATATGAAATGTATTTCTGGATGGAAAGAGTCCAGTGTGATTTATTTATTTTTGCTTAGATTTTACTTCTAAGGAGTAGAAAAGGAATGGTTTCCTCTGTTTAGACTTAATTCTTGCTATTTTTGGGATGTTCTGGATAAATAGCAAAGACCATGTTATGAGCAGTTTTGCTTTTTTTACTACAATTTGCATGTTTTGAACAGTTCTGCAAATCAAGGTTTATTAAGTCCTGTGGCTTGATACAATTACGTTTTGACTTAAGCATAAACTCCGAAGGTCCACTCAACGAGAAACCCTGTCTGGACTAAGGCCCTGATCCTGGATCTGCCCATACTCAGCACAAGCAGATCCACTTGTAGGATGGGGCCCAGCATTGTCTTTGAAAAATCACCACTTAAGTGATTTGGGTACGTATATTCTATTTTCAAAAGTGATAGGCATTTAGAACCCTAACTCTCATTAAAAGTCAGTTGACTTTAAATGAGGCTCTAGGACTTTGAAGATTTTTCGCATCCACCGAGACTTGTATCTGCTTTCTTCACACTCATTCCCGATATTGGCTGTTCAAGCGAAAATTTCTTCATACCGTTTTTCATCACTTCTAATCCGTCTTACACTGTTTTCCAGACTGTTCCTCTAATCTCTCATGGTCACTGTGCCTGTGTGCTACTGTTTTGCGTTTCTCATCAACAAATTTGTTTTCAGGTGCGTTGACACTTTCTTTAGCTCTAGAATACAAATGTGTTGTTTTGCGCTAAAGTCAGTAATATTTACTGCCCATGTCCTTACTTAAGTTTGGAATGTTGTTGTATCTAGGTGCTAGAGGAAGGTGGTGGTGATTCACTAGATATTCTAATTTAGTGTTGAATCCAACATCTCTTGGTTGGATTGGTGGGTAGGAATTCCTATTCGATCCTGCTTTTTTTGGATAGGGAGTGGGAGCTATCGGCAACTGATCTACATCGGAAAATTGTTCCGCTGTTAGTAATTTGTGGTTCCTTTATTAGAAGAGCTGTTTAATTCATTCCCCTCTCAATGTGTAGCGACAACTTCTAGTTTCATAAGCTGGCCTAACACATCAGCATGGTTGTTACATGGTTCCATAATGGGTTTTGTTCCTCTACTTTTGGATAGAAACTGTCTGGCTTAGGTGCGGAGTTCAAACACCACTGATATTCTGAGAGCATGTCTTCACTACGGCCTGGATCGAAGGGCTGTGATCGATCAAGCGGGGGTCGAATTATCCATCTAGCATAGAAGCGATAAATCAACCACCGAGGGCTTTCCTCTCAACTCTGGCACACCACCAACATGAGACGTGTAAGCAGAATTGACAGGAGAGCATCTGTCAACTTACCCATGGTAAAGATACCGTAGCAAGCAGACCTCTGAGTACATCAACTTCAGCTACATTATTCACGTATCTGAAGTTGCGTAACTTAGGTCAAGGATGAGGCCTATGGAAGAGACCAGATAAAGGTGCGGTTTAGGGAATTAGATGCTCATTTTGTCCCAGTTCTATTTCCCCTTCTTTTTTTTAGGAAAAGAGTAAAAAGACTAAGTGAATTGTGATGTTGGTAAATAAATACCTGGCGTTCTTCTCTCATAATCCAGTCCTCAGCTAATGTCCCTCTACGTTATTGGGATGCACTGTTGTTTTGGAGGGCCTGTCTGCCAGAAGAGGCATAAAGGCAGCGTTTTGACTATGGCCTGGGCTGCACTTAACATTTAGGTGACATAGCTATGGCTCTAGTGGGAGTGAAAAATCCACACTTGTGAACTCTGTAATTATACCAACTTAACTTCTGGTACAGACACAGCTGCTAGGTTAATGGACAAACAGTTCTATTAACCTAGCTACCATCTCTCAGGGAAGTAGAGTTCCTAGAGAATGCCAGGGAAAACCCATTTCAGGACAGTACTGTAGGCTCCATCTAGACTACAGCAGTATGTCCACACAGCTTCAGGGCTGTAGCTATGGCACACTGTAGTCCCCATAGTGTAGACATAGTCTGTTGCACTAAAGATCCTATGCCATTTTTCCAAGAGTATGGGATGGCTTTTCAAGGCACAAATATTGAGTTAAACCTTGAGCAATTCTACATACCTAAAATTCCTACTCCGTTTGCAGTTTTGTGGTTTTTTTCCTTCCTATTCCTAAAGTTGTGACAACATTTTTTTTCTTGACAGTTATTTTTAAAGTTTCTGTAACTTCCTTTGCTCTTTCTTCAGAAGAAAACAAGGAGTCCTGTTGTAATTTCAAGTGACACATGACACAGCCGCGTCCGCGCTCCTCCCGCCCCCTCCCCTCCCCGTTTCTTCAGGGAATTTTATCAGGGTCTGCTGACTTGGTCATCTGTTTTGTTCTACTTTTTTCACCATCTTTGTTTATCCCTGTAACTACCGTCTCTAGAAGTTTCACTTTATTTCACAGGGTTTTCTGATTTTCTTTCTTTTATCATTGAAGCCAAGTGCACATTTGACAACTCAATTTATGCCATAACATTGCCATTGCCAAGTATTGTTAGTTGGTTAAATAGTAATATGACCAACACAACTACCTGACTGTTACATACTCTCATCCTTGGTGATCAGATGATGTTATCAGCATTGAGTGCAGAGACCAGATAGGCTTTTCAGGTTTACAGAATCTAGCAGGAATCCTCTCTTTTAAAAACATGTAGAAAGAACAACATGAGCAAAGGAAAGTCAAGTCTTGACTGGGCGGCTTTCACTGCGTGTGAAGATAATCCTACAAGTACTGACTGTAATGCAGCCTTAGGTACAATTACAATAAGTCCTAACTCTGTGATACTAATTACATGACAGCTACTTCTGTGATACACCAAAGAAACCTCTTACATCTTCTCTGAACTATAGTATTTCAGCAATCTTTGTTCCAATTGCCTCTTAGAAGAAAGTTGCCAATGAAATAAGAGTTTATGGCAAGTCTCAATGATCAGAGTGAAAATGTTGCATTTAGTAGGAAAGCTATATTTTGTTTTGGAGGACAGTGTGTGTTTAAACTCCTAAGCAATCTTCTGCCACTCAGGTTCTTGCTATCATGCCAGGCAGCTCTGCTGTGAAATGACATGCATCCTGATTGTGCCGCTCAACTTATCAAGCAAAGAAACGAAAGATGATGGCAGGAACGTAATTTTCTTTTGCACTGTGGGACCTTGCATGGCAAGTGCTGGTTACCCAGGTTTCAGAAAACAGGAGGGGAAAAGAGTGCAAGAGAGATCCTGTGTGCTAATGGGACACAGATCCAAAAAGATTTAACTTAAACTTTTACACTTTGGATGTCTTCCAAAACCACTTTAGATTGACCTTTTAGCTCCTCAGGTCC